AGGTGAAATACCATTTAGGGAAAATGCACCAAAACATTCTGAAGTCACCTCAAAGGGAGAGCTTTTAAAGTTCCAAGTGAGGAGGCAGCTCTAGAAGGCAGCCTGAGAGTAAACCACTGTCCCAATCCCTAAGTTCAGAGCCCAGACTCACAGACAGTCACCTGCTACCTTCACCCTTAACAAATTAGATGCACTTAGTGCAGGTGTTTGCTCAAGGGTGGTCTAAACAAGATTAGAAATTCATCGGCCTTCCCCTTCACTTCTAGAAGGATGGCACAAGTCCACAGATGAGGAGACAATTGCCCAGGGACACGGCATTTCAGGATATCAGTTTGGAACCCAAGTCTCCTGATTGAGGGCTAGGACATGGCGTTCTCCCCACCTCCCTATTTTCTCTCATTCAGCTACACAGATTACAATGCAGTTAATCTTTTCCTTCCTCTCTTCTAATCCGGCATTGAACATTGAAGCACAGCAACTCTGCATAGTTTATGGGAAACTGATTCATATGTGTGTCTGTGCATGCCAGGGTTTGGCTCTCCACACATACTCTCTGGCATGATGCTGGCCAAGAACAAGCCTCACGAAAACCAAATAGGAAGAGCCATTTAAATCCTTAAAGTTCCTAGACTGAATCATGTTCTCGCAAATCTATTATCTCATTCGTTTTTTCCTGCCACCCTTTGTGAGACTCTCTGGTTAGGAATCATACCTACTCTGTCCAGGGGAAGGAGCTTAGGACCAGCAGTTGAAGACTCCTGGACAGGGTCACACCACCAGGCAGTTGCATACTGATCTGTGAGTCAGCTCCCTTGACTCCAAGTTCAACCTCTCTAGAGTGATGCTTGAGGTTCTCATTTCAAAAGACACAACACCAACCCACCAAGACCTGCCCTCTTGATTCTCAGTGTCTCTAAGCACAGACAGAATGGATTTTGTCCGCTCTTTTTTGCCAATGCCCAGTATGAGGTAAATTCCTCCATTCTTCTCATATCTGTAATTGCTCTGACAGCTGTTATTTTTCTTCTCTTTCTTCTTCATTATTTATTTTCTTAAAAATCAGGAATTGGAGCAGCACAACCAAGCCCTGTCTACCCTGCCTACTCCCAGGGTGAACGGATAACAACAAAGAAGCAGTTGACACCAGGGCACAATTGCAACCTGATTTCGCTACGCAAGCATTCCAAAGGAGCTGCCTCTGGAATGCCAGTCCTGTGACGTGGGACAAGAAAACAGTGTTGCTTTTTCAAATGTCAAATGCACATAAAGCCTTCTGGCAATCTCTGGGCCATCCTTCCTCTTCACTTCTGCTCACATTCCGTCAAACTACGGGTCCACAGCCATCCATAGAAATATCTCAACATTACCAGAATCACCCTGTTTTTCTGATCACAGGTATAGGCATCTTTGCTCTGGTAATATGGTGTAATCTATCGGAGGACACTCATCATACCCCTCCCCATGATAATAATAATAAGCATTTTCTCTCCAATGGGTAATGTTACTTTAAAACAACAACAACAACAAAAAACTCGACTTATTTGTCTAGTTCCTTATCCTGAGGAGGACCTATCTCAATTCTGACCATTAATTCTGCTTGATAGTTTCTGTCGACTCAAGTTGATTCATGTATGTTTATTGACAAGGCATAAGCTAGAAGATCTCAGTAAAGAATCCCACTTCTAACTTCCTGGAAGAAGTTTCTGAAAGTCTTTAAATATTGATTTCTCTAGCTGGAAAGTAGAGCTAATAATACTCAAAAAGATTTTTTTTTTGAAAAGGTTAAATGAGATAGAATATTTAAAAGTGCTTAACACAGTGTGTAATACATAGCCAGTACATTACAGAGACAATTGTATCATGTGTTGTATTGTACTCGAATAATAACATAAAGGATTTGTAATTGAGAGTCATCAAATCTATCATTTTATAAGCAAAGTGTGTGTGGACCAGTTACACAGTTTCTTTGCACAGAGTCTAAGAAATGGGGAAAGCATCTCTTTCCTGGGTTCATTGGGGTATCATTACACTTAGAATGGTTTAATGCATTTTGGGTAATTCATTCAAATATGCATTTGAAAACCCTTCTCAAAACCGTTTTAAAATCATGCTACATCAGGAAAAGTTAGGGTAATCACCACAATTTTCCATACAAAGTACTGCTTTCATTATTTACCTATTTATTTACCTACTTATTTGTTGATTTATTTCCTTATTTAATTTCATAAAAATCAGTCCCAGTCTCAAAAGGATATGGATGGCATCCGAAGGCAGCAGATTATTCTGTCTTTAACAATTTGCTGGAGATGTGGCACAGATGATGGTGGGTGGAATGGCAACTTTATGGTTATGGGAAAGAATCCGAGTACCTCAGGGAAGCAGCTTAGCGCACTTCGAGCAGAAATGGTCTCTGTGGTATCAGCACTGATCCTGAGCAGGCCCAGCCCTGTGTATTCAACTGCCCCCTTAGCAACTCCTTAGAAGTCTCTTGGGCATTCAAACAATATACATCTAAGACTGAACTGTTAATCTAGCCCAGTCCCTGACTAAATGCTAAATTAAAATCTATTTCTCCCTCTACTTCTGGAAATAATATTCTCTCATTCCAGATACTCAACCAGAAACTTGAGTCACTGAATAATCCTTTTTTACTTAAGCCCTTTGCATCCAATGTACCATCAAGTCCTATTGATTCTACCTTGATAATGGACCTCCAACTCACTCACTTCTCTGAACAAGTAACTACAATTTCTGGTTTGGTCTTTAGGACTAACCTTGACTGGAACTCTCACACTTTCTCTCTCTGTCCTTTCTTTCTTTTTAAATTAAATTCAATTTTTTTTATTAGCTACACATGATATTACAACAATCTTGGCAATTCATACATTTGAATCATTGGGGTATAATTTCTCATTTTTCTAATTGTACAGATTGCAGAATCACACTGGTCACAGAGTCACCTATATATGACCAAGCATTCAGAGTGATATTATAAAAGAAGAGATATGATGGGCATAGTGCTTCTATTTTGAAATGAATAAATCCAAACTCTTTACCACACACTATCAACCCCTTCATACTATGGCCCCTGGTTATCCCTCTAACTCATCTTCCATTCTACTTTCATTTAAGGGGGCAGGGATTATATTCTATCTACTCCTCATGATAGAATTCCTCAGTTGGTTATTACCATGTTTATGTGTGCTTTTGTTCAGCTTCTCTCTCCTTCGAGAACTCAGGGTTCAGAATCACAGGGTCAGCACAGAGACTGACATGTAGTAGTCACCCCTTCTCAAATGAGCAAGAATGAATGATGAAGCAAAGGAGTGTGTTTATCAAGAGAGCCACGTGACTATCGCTTAACTTCCCTGGGCCTCAGTTTCCCCTAACTGTAGAAGAGAAACTGTAATGACCCAGCCGCTTTCAAGTCTGGTAGTGCATCTGACAGATCCATAGAAATTTTGGTGGTTTAGCATACAATGGGGGTCTCTTGAAATCATAAAGTACCTGAAGACCGTCAGCACTTCTGTGGCTGTTACTGACCCTGGGGATCCATTGATTTTGCCAAACCCCTTTGCTTATCCTACTATTCCCAGAACCTGTATTTCATTCTGAAAGGTACTTGGCCCAAGACTGATGTGAGGGAGTCAGGGGTAGGTGATGCCTGGCTTCCAAAAATAGACTGAGATCTTGCTCACTATGCTGGTCTGAGCTGGGAACAGTGGTATTCTTCCTGGGCTTGGAAGAACAGCTCTCCCTACTGACACTTCCCACTAGCACCTCAGAATGCAGGTACAACCACGTGGGGCTGGCGTGGGAGAAGGCCTTGCTCAGGAAGGGGGCCAGCCCGGATTGCACATTTCTGCAATGTGTTCCTGGAAACCACGTTGGTCTGTCAACGTCCAAACTTCCTCAAGCCTCCTCCTCCTCCTCATCTGCTTAAATGCTCCAAAAACAAATGGAAAAAATTTGTTCTGTCCTCTTTTATTTGTGTTTATTCTATTGCTTTTGGAAACAAGAAAAACTAGTTTTAACATTCATTTTCTCCATTTATCACGATAGCACCTTGATCTATACCAGTCATCACCATAACACCCATGTGAGTTTACCAGACACACCTTTTGGTGGGGAGGTCAGACAAAGGAGATGTAAAACTTGGTTCTAGTGTCTAGTACCTTTGGGACTTTAAATGAACACTTTATCTCCTGGAGTCTCAGTTTCCCCATTGATTAATCAAGCATGCTAATGCCTATATCTCATTGATAGGTTTAAATAAAATATATGATAGTTATTAGTAGTCATGATTTTAGGACTACTAGTTGGTGATGCTACAACTGACACTTGAACATGTGAGGGTGGTTAACACAATGACTATGTTTAGGCAGAATCCAGGTTGGTTTTTATTACCTATTTTATCTTCAGAACACAACCTGGCTCCCAGAACAGGGAATGCAGTAAAGTAGCATTTAACAAATATATCAATGCATAAATTGAGACTCAGAGTAACCTCTTCATAAACACTAGTTCCCTCTTGATTGCCTTTTCTACTCCAGATCCTAATTACATTGATGGACACGCAGGAGAGCCAACATTAAAATCCCTATGTAAGAGAGAGGAAAATGGGGAACTGAAGAGATTAAAGACTATCTTAAGGATATTAACAGACAAATCACAGAAGAGGAAATGTGGATGCCATGGAAATACTTGAAAAGTTTCTCACTGAAGAGTATCTAACAAGCTGGGCATGGTGGCACACCCCTATAATCCCAGTGGCTCGGGAGGCTGAGGCAGGAGGATGGCAAGTTCAAAGCCAGCCTCAGCAACTTAACAAGGCTCTAAGCAATTTAGCAAGACCCTGACTCAAAATAAAAAGGGCTGTGGATATGGCTCAGTAGTTAAGTGCCCTTGGGTTCAAACCAAAAAACAGCAAACAGTACCTAACAAGAATGCCAATGAGAAGCCCATTTTATCCAACAAAGAGTCAAAGATAAAGTACTTATGTGCCAAGCAGTAAGCAGATCTTGCTGCAGACAGCTAGTGGAGGGTAAGCTAGTTTACCCTTAGAACGTCACAGGTTGTGTCTACTAAGTTGAAAAAGACCCATGGCTTATGGCCCAGCAATTCTGCCTCAGTGCCAATACTAGAGAAATGCTTGCATGCATGTACTCAGGGGGAGGCATGTACAAGAATACTCAAAAAGCAGCATCTGTGCTGGGAAGAGAATAGAAAAGGAACAGAATATTATTTATTTCTATTCATAATAGAAAAAAAGGATGTGTAAAATAACCTCAGTGCCCATCATTAGGAGTTTGGCTAAATAACTTGGAGCAGATTTGTTTTATGGAATATCATTAAGTAGCTAAAAAAGAAGTACGTGTAGGAACTGAAGTGGATGCATAAGCCAAATTACACCATTTCCACCTCAAAGCTCTGCATTTGATCTGAGATGGAGCATGCACTTCTGTGTAGTGTAATTTATTCATTCATCCACCCATCCATTCATTTACTTATCAACGTTTACTGAGCACCCACTTGGTTCCAGCCACCTGCATTTTGGTAAATCTCTTCAATGATCCACTGTTAAACGTCCTTCAGGTTGGTATAGACGTCACTCTCTCCAGGAAGCCTACCTTACCCACTCAGGCTGGGTTATGCACCCTCTCTGTGTTTTCTCCCAGCCCCCTTGTGCTCTTACACAATAACAGTTTTCATGCTTCAGTAGCTTCACCTGATACTCTGTCTACATCCCCTTTCCCCACTTTTAAACCATGCTCCTGAAGTCAAGGATGATGTCTGCATCGATTAGAGCTGCATGCCTAGCACAGAACCCACCTAGTATTATTGTTAAATGAAACAAGTATTACTGAACATGGTTACATTGGAGTTTCACTATTTGATGGATGAACGAGCAAATGAACACACACAAGAACAAAAAATGGAAGACTGGATAGTAAGCAGAAAGAGCTAGCAAAAAAAAAAAAAAAAGGGGGGGCGGGGACTTAAAAAAGAGAATGAAGTGACTCATCCCAAGAGCCAGAGAAACAGCATGCATGAGCCACCTTGCCTTCCACTGACCCTGAGTTAGGATAAATGTTTCAAATCCTTTGAGGCTTAACATGGCATCGCATATCAAATCTGACCAAATGGGATGTTATGCAACCACGTTTTCTTTGTGTCTGCCCCAGCTTTATTGTAAGAATCAATGAACCGGGCATGGTGGCACCGGCCTGCAATCCCAGTGGCTCAGGTGGCTGAGACAGGGGGTTCATGAGTTCAAAGCCAATCTCAGCAATGTTGAGATGCTAAGCAACTCAGTGAGATCCTGTCTCTAAAATACAAAATAGGGCTGGGGATGCAGCTCAGTGACCGAGTGCCCATGAGTTCAATCCCTGGTACCCTCCCCCAAAATAAAAATAAAAAATCAATGACAGCAAGGAGCTCGATTCATCACTGTATCTCTAGTGGCTAGGAGGTAGCCGAGTTCAGGTAGGAAGCAACAAATATTTTCTGAGCAAATAAACTGAAGAATCAACTCATTTTTTTTCTTAATTTAGGATGGCCCTGAACATTTAGAATCCAGAGGAAGAAATTTGGATCTGATTTAGAAATTTGGACTTAATGAGTGATAAGAATGCCTATACAGATCCTATGGCTATATTATTTCCTCATGTGTATTCATTTTCTCTAGGAATTACATTGGGAATGCCAAGGAGGTAGAGTAAAATAGGTAGAGATTGTTCTGGAAGTTTAATAGTGCTGAATGTGAGAGAGAAATTAATAGGTTAATACACTAGGATACACAAGTCAGCCATTTGGGAGAGATGACTTCTAAAAATATTTCTAACTCTAAATTGAGGATACTAAGAATAGAGAGGCACTAACAAAATAGGCAACCCAAGCATATTTGTTTAACCAAAGAATGAACAATTAAGAGCACTACCTTTGCAATTGATAGCTCTACATACAGACCCAGTTTTGCCACTTGATAATTGTGTAAACTCTGCCTTTTCTGATTTTGCATTCCAGGTCCATTAAAAAAAAAATACTGAGTGCCTACTTTGTGCCTAAAGTTGTTCTAGGTGCTTGGAATGCATCTAGACAAACAGGCAACAAGCCCAGTCCTCAAAGAGTTGAGATTCTAGTTTGAAGTCTAGACCTCAGTCCTCCCAAATCCAAGCCAACTTCTGACTCTGCATCTCTGTTTCTTCCATTAGAGCGTAAGTGACTGCAATGATATTGTTTCCTATGGATACCTTCTCCCATAGAGTGTGAGCACCTTGAGAAGTTGGCACTACTGGGCCGCCAATTCATCACACAGGACATGGGATAGATGAGTGAATAATAGTGAGTTGCTATTAACTCTTTCTGGTTTGATTTATACTTCATTTTCTTATTCTCTCTCTATCTACTCTCTATCATCTATCTATCTATGACTTAGTTTTGTTTAGACTCTCACTTTTTGGAGAAATTTGCAGATTCCACACAGATCATGTAGCACAGTGCTTAAAGCATTTTGATAGCAATGTTAAAAAAACAAAAGCTTCTCTGCTTTTTCCTGACAGCCAGGGACATAAAGACCTGGTTGTGTAACTTGTGTGACTAGAGCCCAAGTGTAAGTCATGGCAGCAAACTCTGGGCAGCTAACACTTTTAATCCTGCCTTCTACCTGCTCTATCTAGAACTTTGGCCACACTAGAAGCATTCCTCAGCTCTAAAAGTCTGCCTTCACATTACTTCGGGGTGGGGGGGGAGGTGGTACTGTGTAGTGATTAGGAGGGTGGAATTTGGAATCAGTCCTGGGGTTTTAACCTAGCTGTGCCATTACTAGATGCATGAGTTTAGACAAGTCACTTTGTCCTTCAAATTTCTCACCTGCCTCATAAGAACTTATAAGACTAACAGCAGAGTGCATTGTCAATGGTTGTCATTATTGTTGCTTTTGTGTACACACTACACATTTCAGAAGGGCATCCAGAGCCAGTGAGGGTCCCTTGGATGCCAATTTTCATGTACAATTCCTGTTGAATCCTTTTGATGACAAAAAAAGAGTATGAGTTGCCTGTCACCTGAGACACTTTCTCTGATGTCTACCCACAGAAAAGAGCTCCATATATTCTCCCTTTATATGAGAGATGTGGAAACTGAGGCCCAAATAGGTGAAGCACTGGGTCTTGGTGTTGTATGGTGAGTTAGTGGAAGAGTTGGCATCAGTTCCTTTCCTTTTGATAGTGTCAGTTCTTATTCACTGGAGGGGTTTTGGCTTAAGGGAGATGGAGGCATTCCACATTTCTTCCTTGTCCTGGCCAAAAGTAATCAGTCTACCAGAAACTTCCATGGGGTAAGCACAGAAGGCTCTCCCTTCATCAATGTCATACCTTGGAAAACTATCTCTAGCCAAGATAACAGAAAGAATAAATATTTTTGTTGAGAGAAAAAAATGAAGACAAAGGTCAAAGGGAATCATGTAATGGGTTGAGTCAGGGAAAAAAAAGCCTTTTTTTTTTTCCTCTCTCCTCTTTTTCTCCAAAACAGTCTTTATATAGAACTTGTATAGAAGCCAATTTGTTTGATAGAGAAAAAATGTTAAAGCACCAAAATACACATACACATATATGCACACACACCAAGAGGTATTTGTGGTGGGGTGGAGAACTAAAATTACCAAGAGATAAAGGAGTTGAAGTGGAAGGTTGACTTGGAATGAAATGATGTGTTTTCCTTTATTTTCAGAGATTCAGAGAACATTAAGGTCAGAAAGCCCAGCCCAGGTCTCTAATAAAATTCTGGAGACTCAAGAAAGAAAAAGAAGAAGGTAAACTGGTATCTCAGTTCAGCCTTGTGCTTGTCAAATTTTAGGGTCTATAAAGGAGCATTTGGCACATAAACGGTTCATGAGCGTGTGGAGTTGAACATCGGTGGTTTGGGGAAGCAAAATGGCATAGGCGTTGGTTTTTCACCAAGGGACAAGGTCCTTAGCACTCCTGTTGAGTGCCTTCAGGAAAGGGACCTGAGTCAGCCTTCTGACTCCCAGTTCCCTGCACAGACTCTGGCACGTAGAATGTTCTCAATATATACTTGTTAATTAAATGAGTAGTTTTGAGAGTGGAAGAGAATTTGGAGGCTACTGGACTGCAAGGTTTGCTCAGAGCAGTCACTATTAAAATTAACCAGCACTGGGATCACCTGGAGAGATTCTGCCCACAGAAATTCTGATTCACTAGGCTGGACTGTGGCCTCAGAACCTGTCCTTTGGAAGTTTCCAAGTGATGTAGATGCAGCTGGTCTGAATCCAGACTTGGAGAACCCATTTTAGTGCAGGGGATCTGCAACTTGGTTGCACGTTGTAATTGCCTGTTGAGATTTTAAAAGTCCTGAAGGTTGCACCTTACTCTTTCCGATAAAATCAATACCTGGGAGGAGGGCAAGAGGGATGGAGGCTGACACTCAGAAAACCTTAAAAGAGTCCAAGTTTTGGGGTTAGGCAACTGAGTGTGAGAATCACTTCTCCTTGTAGACTTGAGGCATTTCAAGACCAGAAAGGGCAAGCCACTTACCTAAGATAGTAGAGCAAGTGAGTGACTTAGCTAAGAATAGAACTCAGGGTGCTTTTACTTCTGTTTAATTTCTACCATTCCACACTTATCAACCCATGTCAGCTCTCACAGACTCATAAATCAAGGCAAAAAATGAAATCTGTGTATAAACTGAGGTTTTAAGACATCTATTACTTCTTTCTTCCATTGTTTTATAAAGAAATTTTAAGTGGATGCATATTTATAGAACTTTACCACTCCAGACAAGTGAGGAGATGGAAGAGACAGGGTTATGGAATATTTTCAAGGCAAGACGATCCTTTAAATTTTAAGTACATTCTCAAACGCAAACCAAGTGCTCCCTCTGAGTTCTTCACCAGATGTTCTTCATCTCGGATTCAATGCATGGGTGAGGGTTTGCTTGAGATGTGCACATTAATTGCTGGCATGTAAAAGGAAGTGCTGGTAAAGTGTTTGAAAGTGGTTCTGTCTCTTAAAAAGATTAAAAGTTTCCTTCCAGAACTTGGTTTCCATTAATGATTGGCTGAGTAAATATTTTCAAGTAGACAGAGCAGAGATTATGTCTTATATCATCTTAGAACCAAATAAAGAGCCACAAAAGGCTTATAGAAACCATGGACTTGGACTTTTTCATCACACATAGGAGAAATTAAGGCTCAAACAGATTAACTGATTTATCTGACATTAGTAAGTGGACCAGCTGCGACTAGACGCAAAGCGTCTGAGTCCTGAGTTATGGTTCTTTCTAGTATTCAAAGCAGTCCCCATGTACATAGTGGGTATTTGATAAATGTTTGTTGATTGACAGCTTAGACCATTCTACCCACATAAGATGATTAAGGCTTTATCATTTTTCAGCCTAAAGGGGAAGTTGGAATCACATCTCTGATTCAACTTAAGCTGAGTTTACTGGCTTAGGAGTTGGGGGATCAGATGCTTGTCTTGATCTCACTGCTTCCTAACCCCATGGTCTTAGACAAATGACTTTACAACTCTAAGCCCCAGTTTTCTCCTTTGAAAAATGTGGTTGTAGAGAGGATGAAATGAGTAAAAGATGAAATGACCTTAGCCCATTGTCTGGGACACAAGGAAAATCACTAATAACTTCATCATAGGGTGGCCTTCCACAGAAAGCCCAAATCCTGGATATTTTTGAAGAGCTGGTTTTAAAAGTGACGATTAAAGACAAGCACTATCTCACATGAAATCATTGAGCATCCCCCCATCCCTCAAAAACAAAAAAACACAAAAAACCCCAAAACCAAAAAACAAAAAACATGGATCCTAGAGCTACAAAGACCCTTAAGAGGTCCAAATACCTGTTTTCCATCTCAGGAAATGAGACAGAAACAAGGACTGTGATGCAACATTCACCTTCCAGCAAAATATATATGAAAATACTTAGGAGTATGCCCCATTCCCATGCCAATCTGCTATAATTTCATCTCTTTTTCATTCACCAAAAAAAGCAATCAGAATGCTTGAATCTGCTTCAACTTCATAGAAAATGGAAATCATTAGCAAACTTAGGTTCTTCTACCTTCATAGTAATAAGTGAGTTTCTTACAGCTATTCACATCCAACCTTGTTCATTTACTGATGGGGAGGCTAAGTTTCATAGGTTAGGGTCAAACATCAGAAGTGTTACCAGATTTAAGCCTATTGGTTCCTTGTTTATCACACTACATCAATTCTGCCTTGTTGAGATGATTCTGTAATCTCCAGACGTGACTAGAGCCTGCGGAACTTTCTCCTTCCACTCCAGGTCTTTCTGACGCTCTGAACATCCCTCTGCCACCTATCCACTTGATCAACTTCCTATGGAGAAGGCGTACTTACATGTCTTTGAATCTTCTACTGAGGTGTAGGAGAGATGCCACGTCATCCTGGAGAGGAGGGTCTCGGACCACTTTATACTGCAGAGGCTTACACTCCAGGCAGAGTGGGCTGTCTGCAACAGAGGTCAACATGGCAGCATCGATCTCCAGATGTTCATCCAATGTGTAGATCTGGATGCCATACACCTCCTCGCCCACATCCTGGAGTCTGATGGTCAGTGGAATGTCACAGAAAACATTCTGAGGGCCCAGGGAGATGTTTGCTCCACTGACAGTCAACAGTTTGATGTCATTGACAGCTCCACTAGAGTCCCAGTCAGTGGAGACAAAGGTCACCCAGATAGCCAGAGACTCGGGGACTACGGGGTACCGGAATTCCAGCTCGAGGTAGCAGCCTTGTGGCTCAGGGCAGGCTGGAGGGACTGTGTGTGGGTTGACAGCTGAATTTGGGCTCCAGGTGCGGACGCTGGACTTACAGGGCTGTTCCACATCTGGATGACCTATGGAGAAGATGGGAGGGACCTCAGTCAGGACCTTTGCTCTGGTCATTAGAATTTCCCACAGACCCCATAAGAGACTGGTCTGATGAGAATGTAGAAAAATGAAAGAGAATTCTAGTGTTGTGATTAATCTTTTGTATACAGAGCACCCAGTTTCTCCCCACCCCTGGAAAACAGATCTCAGATGAATCACCAGACATTTGGTCAAACTGCATTCAAATAAGCGTCTTACTATTGAGTTGATGTCCAAGATTCTCTTCCTAATCTTTCACTTGACAACTTTGCTCCTTAGCATAAAAATCATGTATGTCCCATGAACATGTTTAGTTTTTTTTTTGCAAGGGATTCATTTCTAAAGTGAGGAAACTAAGGCTCAGAAATGTGGAGTGAATGGACCAAGTTTATGAACTTGAAGTGTCAAGGTCAGCCTTAGAACCCAGCTTGACCTCATTCAGAAGTCCTTAGAGTTCATTCTTTTTCATGTTGGATGTGGAGTCACTAAAATAAGTTAGAATCCATGTGCTATTATAGCCTTTGTGTGGTCCTGCTTGGACTGAAAGAAACACCAGAAAACCCCGAGCAAAGAGGAGGTAAGCAAGGGTAGCATCCACCCCCTGGACTGGAGATCTGGGAGGAAATAGCCATGAAAAGCTGGAAAGCTCTGGAGCCACCTTATCTGTCTTCCTCCCTTTCCCTACGTGAGGTCATTCCATACCACTGAGCTTCTCTGAGCTCTTTCCAGTCTGATTCAGGAAGGGGAGGGCTGGGCCAGGAGGGGGAAGAGAGGGATTCTTCTACTCTTTCCCCAGGGAGATGATGCCTCATTCCCAACTGACCTCAGCCTGCCATGACTTCTGAATTTTTCTCTGCTGAAATCACATCTAGACCCTCAGAGAGCTCTTCCCTGCACTACTGAGGAAAGTAACCAGGACTCAATGCAGCAACTGGCTCTAACTTGCGTATGGGAGTCTAGTTGCAGTGCATCCGGTGAGGGTAGAATGGGGGACATTCAGGTTGTGCTATCAGCCATGCTCCTTTTCATGTTTGGTATCAGTGGTTGGTGGCTATGGGGGTGAGGACACCGGACATTTCTAAAGCAAAAAGGAAAAAAAAAAAGTGATCTTTGTTTGAAAACAACTTTTGGTAATGTCAAAAGGTCCAGGCAGCAGGTATAGGAATCAGCACCAAATGAGTATTAGAAAGCCACGTGGGGTAGAAAAGCAACTCTAGAAAAAGCTGTAAATGCCTCCAACCTCTTTGGCTCTTCCAAGAAAAGGAGGAAGAAAGAAGACACCAAGTGGAGATGGAGAAGAGGAGAAAAGGGAACAAGGGAAATGCACAGACTTTTGAAAATATAAGTCATCAAAACAAGGAGAGATGGTTATAAATATAAGATTCCCTCCAACCCTCCTTGACTAGGTTCATTCATTATTCACAACAACTGCTGGCTAGAAGCAACCTTTAGTTTAAATGAAAAGCACAAATAAAACTTCCTGCCCAGCTGAAGCTCTTCCCCTGTCTATTCCCCAACCCACTGGATTTCTGACTCAGGTTTTGTGGATGGTGGGCCCATGTGTATTACTAGTTCATTCAGTAAACATTATTGAGGGCAAAACTTTACAGTATATGAAGCACATCCCTTAATGATTAGTGAACTCAGCTGATTGTCATCCAAACCCTGAAGAATGGGTAACATTCCTGTCTGTTTTACGGGTCTATTTCACTCTATGCCATTGAGTCTCTGCTTAATACATTGCAAACAACAGATGCTCAATCAGTATTTGTTAAGGAAGAACATTCTACCTTGTGAATACAGAGTTAAAAAAAAAAAAAAAACAAAGTTACTGCATGGATTAGAGTCTGCTGCCTGGAGGTGGGTGCCAGGTGAGTGCTCCACCCCTCCATGGGCTTTCTCCCAGAATTGGCAAGGGATAAAATGATCTTTCTCCCTTCCTTGGAGAAAATGACTATCAGTGGTGGGAAGCCACAGGAGAGCAAAGATGACAAATCTGTTTGGCTCATCCTTCCTCCCTGGTTTCTTGTTAATCAACAGGGACCAAATGCTTTCCAAAGGACAAGAAGGTGAGCCTGGTCATTATGCTCCAGTAAGTAAACAGGAGTAGCAATCTTAGGGAAGCTTATCCGTGTCTGGTTATTAGAGACAGACCCTGAGTTGTAAAGAACAGCCACAAGGGTCATGAAGTCCAGCCCATCCCCAAAGCAGCAAATCCCTGCCATAACACCAGGCTTCAGGAATCGAGCATCCTCTACGTGCAGGCACCGTGCCAAACGCATTACATGCCTCAGCTCCTTTCATGCTGGCAGTAAGTCTATGACGCAGGTTTTATGAAACTCTTTTTTACAGAAGAGGAAACTGAGACTCAGATGGTTAAGTAATCCCTGGTGGGGAGTAGAATATTATGTGATACTGTTGGTCCAGGCAGCGTGCCAGGCTTTGAAGCAATGAAAGTTGGGTTAAAATGTCAACTATGCAGCTTCTCATTGTTACCTACTGTACTGTTACTTACCTCACTGGGGTTGCTGTAAAATGCAAATGGAACAAGATCACTAATAAATGCTCACCAATATATTAAGCTTGGTCCTGAAAAGGAAGAAAGAACTAAAGAGGAAAATCTTGGTGGGAGGAGGAATTCTAAGCAAAAGGAAGAGTGGAGAGACAGAGTGAACTAAGGTGACCCTGGTTTGCAGAGTGATGGGAGAAGAGCAAATGCTGAGGCTGGAAAGGTGCATTAGGAAGCGTCTTGTAAGTCACATTAAGGAAAGTGAGTGTCAAAGGAGACGGATGAAGAGGTACAGAGGAACGTTAGATTTGCTTTTATAAAATTCACTACTTGGAGAATGTTATGGTTTAGATGCAAGGTGTCCCCAAAGACATGAAAGAAAATTTAGAGATGAAATGATTGGGTTATAAGAGGCTTAACATAACCAGGGCATTAATCCCCCGATAGGGATTAACTTGGTAGTAACGGTAGGCAGGTAGGGGCCCTGGGGTATGTCTTTGGGGTTTGTATTTTGTCGTGGTGAGGAGAACTCTCTTTCTCTCTGTCGCTGCTTCCTGGTGCAGTGCCCTAACTTGCTTTCCTACATTCTACACTTCCACTATGTTGTCCTGCCTCACCTCAGTCCCCAAGGAATGGAGTCCACTGTCTATGGGCTGAGACCTCTGAAACCTTGAGCCCCCAAATAAACTTTTCCTCTTTTAACTGTTCTTGACATGTCTTTTGGCCATAGCAGCAAGAAAGCTGACTAAAACAGAGACACAGGTACTATGTACCCCTCCAACCATCTGTCCATCTTAGCATTCAAAGAGTAATTATGGAGTGCCAGGTCTGTGTCCAGAGAAAGGCTAGCCCCCGGGGGAACAGGATTCTAGACTCTGACTTCATGAAGCTTCCAGTCTTGGCAAGGTTCGGAGACTCTTGCATTAACAGACAGGATACAACTAGGGCTGGGGCAAAGATAGCATCAGAGATGACAAGTCAGAGTTGCTAAGGAGGAAAATAGACAGGGCTGGGAGATTGATTGGGTGTGTTTTTGAGGCAGGGAGAGGGGCCAAGAAAAAGGAACCAATAGTAGAAGAAAGAAAGGAGGGAATACTCTGGAAAGCAGTATGAAGATTCCTCAGAAAACTTGGAATGGAACTACCCTTTGGCCCAGTTATCCCACTCCTTGGAATATATCCAGAGGAGTTAATCAGCCTACTATAGTGACTCACCCACATCAATATCCGCGTCAACTAAACTATGGAACCTACTTAAGTGTCCTTCAACAGATGAAATGGATAAAGAAAAATATGGTACACACACCCAATGGAATATTACTCAGCCATAAAGAAGAATGAAGTTATGGTATTTGCTGCTAAATGGATGGGACTGGAGGCTATCATGCTAAGTGAAATAAGCTAATCCTAAAAAATCCTTTGTCTCTCTGATATGACAAAGCTAACTCTTAATAGGTGGGGGTTGGGGGAAGGATGAGTAGAGGTTCTCTGGATTGGATGGGGAGATGGGGGAAAGAAAGAGGAGATGGGAACAAGAAAGACAGTAGAATGAATTGGACATAATTTTCCTATGTTCATATATGAACACATGACCAGTGTGACTCCACATCATGTACAATCACAAGAATGGGAAGTTATACTCCATGTATGTATGATATGTCAAAATACATTCTAGTGCCATATATAACTAAAAAGAACAAATTTTTAAAAAGTAGGGAAGGAAGAAAGAAAGGGGAAAAGGAGAGATAGAACCAAGGAGGAAAAAGCAGGGAAGAAAGAGAAGTCCAAAGTCCTCGTCATTAATAATGTATGTGGTAACGAAATGTACATAGGGTAACTAAATGAAAGGTTCCATGTTGATATAAGCTGATAGAGGGAGGTCACAGATGTGTGCAGAGATGTATTTATACATATTATGCCGATCTGCATTTACATCATGATGCTCTGTATAGACACCTTCTCTGTCTATCTGTACACCGGAACTGATGACAGGAATATCGTCATAAAAACTCGGTGCCGGGGCTTTTTCTAGATGTATAGATGAGCACCCTGAACTAGTCTGGCCAGAACAATGAAGAAAGCACCCACCCAAATAAGAAAAAAATGGAAACAATTAGTGCCATGTGTCAGACTCTCATGGTAAACCCAACACTTGGAAGGTACAAGTAATCTTAAATGGGATTTGCACCTGCCAGACCCAGCTCCCTAATCCCAGGCTGCACGTGTATCGTGGGAAATACCTCAGGAAGTATCCCTCTGTGAGACCGTTCCTGCTCAAGAAATAGGAGTGCATCCACTTTCTGTGAACCAAAGGAGGAAGTCTGTGACCATCTACCTTCTTTGAAATTAAGTTAATGGAGCACAATAGACATCCAACAAATAGCTGTTCAATGTAGAACCTTCTGTCTTCTTAGTGCGAAATTAGAAAAGGCGTTACAGCTCTACTGTTAGAGCTGGGAAAGACATTGCAATCCCACTGTCCATTCTGTGGGCAAGAGTTGTGAAGGGACTCACTCAGGTCCTGGATTACGTTGACGGAGGGGCTGGGACCAAGGTGTGGTCCTCCTCATCTCCTGCCCTCCAACTGTACTTTTTATTCCCAACCCCACAGATACGTCTGGCATCGTTTATGAATCTGGGAGTTTTCTGTTAGTTTGGCAAGTCCAAAAACTTAAACACACAAAAGATAAATAGGATGAAAATGAGTTGAGAAAGAAATTGCAGAGTTTGGCTCATGGAAAAGTTTATTTCTTCAAGGATATTAAAAAGAGTCTGAGCCAAACGGATCACAGAGCCTGTAATAGGATGCTCTAAAAAAAGAACGGTGTCTCTCCCTGGCCGGCGTGGGCTAAATTTACATAGGAGGAAAACCCAGAGTGTCTGGGTTTCCTTGGAGGCCCGAGTCAGCTCAGGAAACCAGGGGATTCTGCGCTTGCAGTGGAAGCCCGTATAGCAGGTCACACGTTAAGAGGGTCGGGGACAAACTGACAGTTGGTTTGGATGGAGGTGTGAGGAGATGTCTGGAAATTGTGTCACTCAGACAAGAAGTAGAACAAGCCAACATGATGCTAGCCAGAGAAGCATCAGGGAGATCCTTGCTGATTCCACCTCCCGAATCTCTCTCCACTCCTTCAACTCCTCTCCATTCTTATTTCCACAAATCTCACCCAGGGTACCACCATTCCACGCCTGGATCCAGGTACAACCACTCATCATTCCCTGTCTTCCTGGACTTTCTACCCTTCATCGTTTCTCTGCGGAACTGTTCAAGCAATCTTTATAACATGCACATCTCACCATAAACACAACCAGACCAAGGCATGTGGTGTCTGGTCACCGCCCTCAGGGTGAATTCAAACCCATCCTCACCTGATCATTTTCCACCTCACCTATGGAACCTCTCCTGGCCCCACCAGGCTCTCATGCTTTACACCCATTTAAACTTGTACAGAATTTCACAGGCTCTCCTACGTAGTCCATATCTATTGGTAGCTACCATATTATGAATAAGAAGCAAGATTTTTAAAACTCAAGATTACAAATGTGCCTTCTCTTAGTTAGCCATCAGAGCACTAAGAACATCATATATTATGCATCCAATGGAAAACTCCACTGTATTCTCTGAAGAGAATGAAAGTGAAACAGGCAAATGATATCCTAGTGATATCATGAAAACAATTCTGACTTTGAGGATACCATGAAAACCCTTCCAGAAAGCCTCTGGATCATGTTTAGAAAAATGCTGTTGCTCTAAACATATTAGAGTTCTTCCCATTCTCAAATGTACTTTGTGACATTTCATGGGGAGCCTGTGTCTCCTACCTACTGGTCCCCAACTCTTCACAACTAATGACATAGTTCTCTTCACATTGAATGGTCACGGCCCACTTGCTCATCTGACTGCTCTGGCAGACGGTCAGGGCACCCTTGCCCTCTACCCAGGACAGAACTCAGCCCCATCCTGAGGCCGTCTATGGAAGTATGTAAAATATTGCCAGTTATCAGGGACCCACACAGCTTCTGCTGTGACATCTCAGGGTGCGTTCGGTAGGGGTGAAAAAATTCCAACCAAAAATTGAAGGAAGAACTTTCTAAAAAAATGAAGCTATATAACAGGGTACCGGGAGCCTCAGTGAGGAAGAACATAGAGGGGATTCCTGCACTGGGTGGGGACCGGAGCTGGATGACCCCAGGCATCCCTTCCAACTCTGACAGCGTGTGATTCTGCGAGGCTGAGCCCAGGGTTTCTCCCAGACATCCCTCTCGCTTTACATTCCAGATGGGTTTGTTTAGAGTTCCCGAGTTCAACTCTCATTTTTATTTTAAGCTACTTTAGAAAATAAAGTACAGTGCCATCATTTTTCAACTCGGCTTTCCTCTCTGATCTCTCCTCTCGCTTTAGTCTATCTCTGGCTTTCCCTTTTCAACCTTCTTTCTAAAAATACAGAGGATAGCAGAGAAGTTCTCACTGGCGCTCAATGAGGAGACAGATCCTGCTTCCTCTGATGAGCTGGTGTAATAGTGTCCCCACCCAGTGACTGTTGGCATGAGCTGACCCGCACAACAGCAAGAATTACCGGGTGGGGTCAGGCTCCATATGCAAGTCTCTGAGGGACAGGAATGGGGAGATAGAGCAGGGGAGGAAGGCACAGGGTCTCTGCCATCCTGGCCTCAGGGTCAAGTGACAGATGGCACTTGGCAAAGGTGTTCTCTTAGTTACCGTAGAGAACAGAGCAGCTGTTTTCTATATAAAGTAATTATTCTGTAAGAAAGCACAGTTGTTGGCCCTTTGGAAGGCCTGAGAGACAACCCCAAGCAGGGTAGAGTCTCATGATGGGTGCAGCCCAGAACAGTGGCCAGGGCGGGGAGAGCTTTCCTTAAGCGTCTTATAGGTAAATGGATCTCCAAAAAGAGGTACAAGGAAGACATGAAAAGGAACATATGTGACACATGTGAGAATGCCCTGGAAGTCTCAGACATAACTGACGAAAAATCAAAGACTATTGACACCTCAAAGACCTCAAACAGGTGCATCGACTAAGGTGACCTTGTCTGTACCCACAGACAGCTGAAGTCTGGAGGCTACATAAACACCTTTGCATACGGCATCTTTATCAGGTATGTGGCCTCTTGGTGCCTCATTTCCTCACTGGTGTCATGAAAACAACATACTTAGGACAACGTAAGTGCTCCGAATATTTGTTGAATGAGTGACTGCGTGAATACTGGCCTTTCAAGGTGATCTTAAGATCAAACGAGATGGTAGAGGGGAAAGACCATAATAAATCACTGAATGCCATATAGGAAAGACTTGTTCTTCGCACACCTCCTCGTCCATCAGTATCCAGAAAACTGGCTTACCTTCAGCTTCCCGAGGGCTCCAGTGTCCTGATGGGCCACAGGGCATTGGAGAGGAGGCGTTGAAGGCATACTGCACCAGGATCCTCCCTTCCAGGCAAAGGTCACATGCTGATCCCAATTCTCTAGGAGGCCAAGGAAAGAGGGGAAATGCACAGACTTAGGAACAGTTGAATGAGCAACTGATGGGACAAGACCAAAGCAAACAGGGCAGAAGACACACATTTTATATCACACACACACACAGACACACACACACCTCTCCCAACGTATGCTAAGGTTCAGAAAAAATGACTATAAGTGAAATTTCTCCCTTTGCCTAAGATCTCACATGGGCCAAAGTGGCTCCTGTCCGGATGGTGCAGATGCTTTTCTCATTTGAAGCAGCACAGAATCAAGAAGCCAGAGGCCCGTCACCTGCAGTAATTTTAATTTCATCTGGCTGAGAATTTGCCACGTGGTTGTGAGAAAATCTGTTGCTTCATCTTGTCCTCAAAAGTGACTCTTTTAACAATATTCAGCGGGTACCTACCAGGTGCCAGGTGCAATCCTGTGTCATAGGCATTAAATATGAATAAGGCATGGATCCCTCATCTGAAGCTAAGTGATCTGGATGAGATGATGCCCGGGGAACCTTCCAGCCCTGGCATTCTGGGGATGGATGAGTCACTCCTTAACTTAACAGTCAAAAACAGTTTCTGAACTATGCCATCTAATTCATTTTAGCAGCTTTCCAGGGGAAGAGCCAATCCCTCAATGGGACCAGCCCCAGAAGTGGAATATTATGGTGGCTTCCCCTACTGCCTTGTGTATCTGGATTCAATCTCCCTTTGGCCATAACAGCCCTCTGGGATCCGACTTGCTCTCTAAATTTCTCTGCAGAGAAATTTAGAAGACAGTTGTGGGGAAGGCAAAAGGATGAGTCTTTTCCTGCCGTATGACTGTGGATCCCAAACCCTACATAACTGAGTGAACTCTACAGAGGAATTAGAAACTGAATCTAGAGATATCCAGCAATAGCCCCGCCTGACTCTTCATTTCTTAAAATGCAATGTCCTGCTGTCTCTCAACCTGAAAGGAATCTCTGTGCTTCGGCTACCTGAAAGGACACAATGAAGAGCCAGATTGTTAAGTGTTAGGGCTCTCCCATCTCAGGGAAACCCCTGTGCCTCCAGGCTCCAGTGGTAAGGAAGACATGCATGTGAGCATCACAGTCTGACTCTGCCCCCTACGCAGTGGCCAGATCGTCCCCAAACCTCAATCTCAATGGGCCATGCTTACTTCATTGGGTAAGTCCAGCCCCCAGTAACCCACACTATGGCATCCAACACCCCAGAGAACTGTTCTCCCCATCACTCTGGCCTTGTTTCTCTCTGCTAATAGGCTCTGGTGAGCTGCCACATTGAGTCATGTTGTCCTCTCCCCCAATCCTTGCTTCTGTCACCTCATCCTTCAAGGTTCTCCTCGGATATCATTTCTTATACGAAGACAAATGAATTTCTCTCAGTAGTCTATGAGGTTCTTAAGGATACAGTCCATATTTTAGGGTTCTCTGTTTCTCCCAGGGCCAACTTATTTTATAGTGTTGACCATCATATGTAGTTAATGGATAGATGGATGAATAAATATCGGTCACTCAGATGCACTGCTAATATTAATGGCTAACCTAATCCAGACCTTCAAAATTCATGTTTTGCATTCTCAGGCGTATAATTGCAAGTGCCAAACTATACAACAGGTAGAAACTTTGCAAGCACAATAATATTCAATGATAGGAGAACAATGAAAAAAAAACTATGGTTAATCTGTTGAATGGAAGGCAAGAAGTTATTATGAAAGCATTTATAAAAATTATGCAATTTTATGCAAAATGTGTAAACTATAATATTAAGATGAAAAATTCATATTCAAAGCTGAATTTGCAAATGTCTCAACACTATTCAAATAATCTATATGATAAAATATTATTGTTAGTCGTTTCTGAATGGTGGAACTTATAGTGATTGATTTCCTCCCTTGTGCTTATTCTTCTTGGTTTCTGAAATTTTCTGTACATTTTAAATGCATGTAAGTTATTCTCATAAGAGCAATAATAGTAATTATATAAATGTACTTGTTGGGAATGAATTAGGGGTGGAGAGAGAAACTTGTTCAGCATTGTTAATGAGGGCAATTTCCTTAGACTGACTGTAATCCATGCACAGCAACTCTGAGTCACATGACTAGCTTTAGGGTGACAATGAGACTACAAATGTCCTGGAATGGGTTCAGGAACCATTGACCTTAATGGTCACAGGGTTTTTCTTTCTATTTCCTTTAGATGTTTTCTTTACATGATACACACAAAATCACCTGAATTTCATTGAATTCTCAACATATCCCAGGTCCCTAAGAAATGCTCAGATGAGTGAACAAACCATCAATAGACCAAGAGCAAATGGGTGACGTCCTACACAACCTGGGAGTGCATGTGCTTCCTACCTTTGACATTTATTTGATTTTCATGGACACCTGTGTCTACACCCAAACACACACTGAAGTCATATATCCACAGGATGCTAATGCTGAGAGAGATCATCTTTCTTATCCAAGTTCTGTGAGACTCAAAGCTTAAAGCTTTAAATCTGTGCTGTTCAAAACAGTAGCTACCAGCCACTTGCTGCTACTTAAACTTAGGCCAATTAATAGTAAATGTAAAAATTCTGTTTTTCAATCACACTAGTTATAGTTCAAGTGGTTACTAACTTGGACAGGGTGGACATAGAAGATTTCCATGACCACATAAAGCCCTATTATAGAGTGCTTCTCTAGGACATTCTTTATATAAAATGAATTAACTTGTCTCCATTACAACTAGAATTATACTGATTATGTCCTATCTTCGAGATAAGTGAAAAAAATAGTTACTCAAATTGTTTTCTGTGTTCTGAGATATGGAAGAGAAAACTTGGTCGGGAAAGGCTAGAACCCTTTGGGCTTACAGATGAGAAGAACACTGAGGCTGAAGAGGCAGAGGGAATGGACGGGCTTGCATTCAAACCCAGGTCTCTTGGTTCTGAGGCCAGTACCTTCTCCAATACACCATAGCCAATTGTTCAAATAACTGAAACCACCCAGTCAACACATGTTTGCAAGGCAGATAAAAATAAAGGAGCTAGAAAAACCAGGGGTGGCCTTGAATTATTTATTCAGTTGCCCATGTGTGAGGACACAGGCTGCGGGAGGATCTGAATATGTGTTTTTTTTTTTTTTAAGGGAAACCCTTGTATTCTCTTAGACCACAGATGTGAGAACAGCAGGAGGACTTGAGCATGGCCGGGGGTGAGACATTGGCATTGATGGATGACGTGGAAAACACCAGAGGTTTTGCAGGGAAAGGGGATTTTCAAGTAGCTAAACAGCTTCAGAAAACATTGCACAACATGGAAGCTAAAATTGCCTGAGTGTAGAGTCTATGTGCTTGTCCTATGGCAGATGTCATCTTGTTGAATTCCCCACAAAAGCTGGGTGATGTGGGCACAGGGAGCACCTTTATTTTGGAAGAAGACACAGAGGATCAGGGAAGTGAGATGGCTTACCCAACGTCCAGTCAGCCGGGAGTAACAAAGCCGAGAAGGGAAAATGGATGAGTGGACATCAAAGCTTGAACACTCTGTACTAAGCCAATTTGCAGGAATGTAAACTCCAAGTGTATGGGAGAGTGATATACCTAAAATGTAGTTCCGTTTCAGCAATTTATGGAACTTGGGGACCGAGTTCCATTAGCTAGAGATGACGGTTCATGTAGCTGTTAACCCTAATTAGATACGTTTCAAAAGTGTCCGTTTTAATTTAACCTATGATAACTCCGTCCTGAAATCTCAGACGGCACAGAATAGCTATTGTATGAGCCTCCAGGACCAACTGGCTATAGGTTATTAAAAACATATTGATTGAAGCTGAGGGCACTGTGTAATAGAGGCCTATCTCATTACACAACAATTAACCCTCCAATAGGCTTCCAACAATCAGATGGTATTTATTTAATGGACAATAACTGCTTTATGAAATACAAATTGAATACATACACAGGAAGCGGCATTTACAAAACTTCCATTTTTAAGTAGAATCGAGGCCAAGGACTGAGCAAAAGCCCGAAACTTCTCATCACCACAGAAAAAATAAATAAGTCCACGGGCTGCTGGAAGAGCCTCCTGTGAAGTGTCACATGAGGTTTCCCAAACCCAGTGCTGAGCTCCCAGTGAGGGCAGCTGGGGCAGAAGAGAGGGAGTTTCTATAGAGAGCTCGGGGAGTACGTCCCCTTCCGCTCGGATCACACTCATCCAGCTGCCCGAGAAGGCTGAGATTCAGGGACTGATGGAAATGTGGAAAATCGGAGCCTGAATTTTACACGGTGCCATGATATACCATGTTCTTAAATTTTTAAAAATTCTGTTGATAACTGACATTGAGAATTTGTGAGGTACAATGTGATGTTTTGAAACATGTTTACTCTACGGAGTGATTAAACCAGGCTCATTCACAAATCCACTCCCTTTCATACTATGCATTTTGTGCCAAAAAAAAAAATTTTTGAAATCTACCCTTTTAGCAATTTTAGAAAATATGATGCACTATTGGGTAGCAGGATCACCATTTTTGCAATAAGATCAGGAAAGCCTATTTCTCCTGTCTAACTGCTATTGGGTACCCTTTGATCAACATCTTCCCTTCCTCGGGAACCCTCCTTCTCAGCCTCTGTTAGGCATCCTTCTGCTCTCCCCTTCTATGAGTTTAACTTTTAAAAATTCCACATCTAATTGAGATCGGGTGGCACTGGTCTTTCTGTATCTGGCTTATTTCAATTAGCATAATGTGTTCCAGATTCATCCATGTTGTCACAAATGACAGGATTTCCCCTCTTTTAAGGCTGAATAGTATTCTCTTGTGTATACACATCACATCCACAAAATCTTTATCCATTCATCTGATGGACGATTCTTAACTGGTTTCCATAGCTCAGCCATCATGAACAATGCTACCACGAACCATGAGAGTGTGGATAATTCTTCTCCATACTGATTTCCATCTCTGTGGATAAATACCCAGAAGAGGGATTGCAGGATCATACGGTGTCTCTATTTTTAGTTTTCTAAGGAACCCGCATACTGTTTTCCACAATGGTTGTATTTATTTACATTCCCACCCATAGCCTCAGAATGTTCCCTTTCTTCCAGGTCTTCTCCAACCCTTGTTACCTTTTGTCTTCTTGATAATAACCATCCTAACAGTGAGAGATAATATTGTAGCTTTTCTATGCATCTCACTGATAATTAGTGACCTTGGATGTGTTTTCATTTACCTTTTGGCTATCTCTATGTCTTCTTTTGAGAAGTGTCTACTGAGGTCCTTTGTTTAATATATTTTTGTACGCACATGAGCACTCATAGAGAATCTTGAAGATGGGAGCTGTTTGTCACCCCTTTGTGGCTCCTTTGCAGGAAGGTACAAATACCTCCTTCATAACTCTAGTTTTGAAACAGCTTCATGGAAGCACATGGGAGTCATAGACAAAACATTGGAAAGTATGAGTTGGAGTCCAGCCCCCACTACATTCTAGGGGCTTTTGGTCAAGTCTCTCATCTTTTTTTCAACTCCAATTCTCTCCTTGTCTGGCATAGGAGGAAGATGATCTCTTTCTTAGTGGGGTACTTGAGATGTTAAATAAGACTCTATCAGCAAAGCATTTAGTATACAATCAGCCACATCGTAAACACTTGAAAAATAGCAGCAACCCCAATAGAGAAACAATACTTAATTATCAGCATGGCTATCATTTTCACCATCAGCAATGTTATAGCAACGTTGCTAGAGGAAACATCCCCAAGAGGAGCTGTGAGTGGGGTGATATACTCATCTTCCCTGAATTACAGAAGAGGTCCAAAATAGATGCTAACGTTATGTTACGTGATCACGAACCTGGCTTTAAACCTGGCTCCCTCCAGACTTGAACTCCTCAGGGATTCTTCAGGCTGAAAGGAACCACTAGGAACCGTTCAGTTCAGGTCTTTGCCTTCTGTCCATTGAGTGTTATCAGACCCACTTTCCAGAGGGAAGAGAATAAAACTCAGAGAGGGAGAGTGACTTGTTGTCTAAGGTCATAGAACCAATTGGTGATTGACAAGGGAGGGAGTGGAACTAAGGTATATTTTTCTCTGGACTTCTAAATATTTCACCCTCAGCTCTACAAATAAATAGCAGACATAAATATTATGAATATATGTTATACATATAAATTCTTGCAAATATATACATGCATACACATGTGCCACAATAGAAAATGGGAATTATACATAATAGAACATGAAGGGTTGGGCCCATTAACCAATTTCAGCTCCCAAGATCATGGAGACCGGTACCTCCCGCTCAAAGGAGGTTTCTAGCAATAGGAGTTTTAAAGTTCTTAGTAATAAAGTAAATCTAAACATGTATTCACTTAAAATTGGGTATCATTAGCCTATTCATTTCTATCAGCAAGCATTTGTTCGTTCCCTGACCCAAAATTTACCACCTGCTTCCAGGTACCAATCACTGTGCTAAGGGGCAGAGGTGTCCCTTTAACAAGCACAAGAAACAGCGCATACACAGCAAAATCCCTCTCCAAAGCTGCCTCCCTTCCAAGTTTTCCCTCTTCTTAGCAGGAGAAAGAGAGTGGGATCAACACTTCACAGGCCACACTCACCTTTCAAAGAAGTGGCCATCGATGGGCGGGAACCACTCCAGCGTCACGGAGTCCATGGTGTGTCCCACGACCTGGGGCGCGAGAGCGACGGGCGCCGGCTTTCTGGAGGGCTGCCAGCTCTGGTACACCAAGTCCAGGTAACAGTGCATTCTGGCGACTTGATTGGGCGTGAAGGAGTCTGTACAGTCGTCATCTGCAAGCAGGCAGAGGGAGAGATAAGCACCGAGCTGCACGGGCAGGCAACAGAACGATGACGTCTCTTGGCGGCCAGAGAGCCAGCCAGCACCCGGGTCCTTCCTTGCCAACTCAGGGTGGCCTCTTCCAGTGCTCAAGAGTTAATGGTCTGTGAACAAATTAGTGTAGTCATCACTCCTGCAGACAGGTGAGAGGAAGCAGGAGGAAGGGGAGGGTGGATGGAACTGGAAAAGTAGGCCTGAGACTGGGGAGAGGGCAGCCAGGAGGGCACAGCTGAGGACAAGGGCAGGTGAGAGAGGCTTTCTAGGGTCTCCAAATCCTCGGGTCCCCAAGGAGTCCCTCACTGCCTCCCTTCCCCCGTCTCATCCACTCTCTAAATCACTCATCCTCTTGCTTTTCCACTTATCACTCACTAGTTCATGTGCTCACCAGTTCCCCCAAGTCTTCCCTTGCCTTCATTCATCCACTTATTTGTCAATTCTTTTTTTAATGGATGCAATGATATGGCCCTTCACGAAGCCTTCGGAGCGTCTAACGCAAATCCTCTGCTCCGTTAAGGGGCACGGAAAGAAGAAACCAAAAAAAAAAAAAAAAAGTTCTACCCTTGAAGAGCTTTTGGTTTAGTTATGGAGTCAAGGCCAGCGTACTGACTGCGTCAAGGTTGTTCTAAGGTCGCTGAAGTCTGTCATGTCCACCACCACCAATGATCGGAGGGAGACAGCAGGTAGGGGAGGAGGGGAGCCAGAAAGGCTTCTGAAGAGGAGAGATCTGAGGTCAGATTACATGGCTGGGACTAGGAATGAAAGTTGGGCGTTGCCAGAGAGGAAACTCACAGCCACGGAACCTCCGTGTCCTGTGCAAGAGCACAGGACAGGTCAGAATCCGGCAGGCTCAGCTCAGTGTGCAGATGGGAAAATGCAGTTATACCCCCACTCATAGTTCTGTCCCTGGGACAGGTGCTTAGTATGAGCCAAGCATGAATCAAACATGGTGCATAGTCTTGGGGACACATTTAAACCCCTCTCCCCCAATACTCACTATTTTTTGGAGTGCCTTCTATCATTTCCTCCGTCTTACAGAAAAGGAAACCGGGGATGAGAGAGGGCAAGCAACTTTTCCAAGATCACAGAGCTAAGCACAGATTTGAGATTTGAACCCCAGCAGCCAAGACTCCTGTCTGTGCTTCTAATGAGCATGAGAAATTCTTTCTGAGAGTAAATGAGAACTCACATGCACAAAGTCTCCTGCAGGTGGCTGATAGATAGGAGTGGAGACTGGATCTGAGCCTGAGGGAGACGGGAATGTTATCTCTCAGGGGCTTTTTGGTCTAATGATCCTCAATCTT